AGTGACCTATTTTTGTCACTATCAAAATAGGTCACTATTTTGATATCGATACCAATACCAAGAGGACTATGTTGAGGACTTTATTGGACTGGCTCATTTAACACCTTTTGACCAGGTATGCTTGATATTTTTTTGTGGTGGGCTATCTGAGCCGCTCAGCTCACTCATGCCTTTGCATAATCCTCACTGGACTCTGGAGTTTTACATCGATATGGCCCTCCAACTGAGTGGCTCTGCATTTGCTGTGGAGGAGGAACACGGCACTCCTGCAGTATCTGCCACTCCAGAGCCTGGTCCCGCTATGGCTACCAGTTCAGAGTCTCTTCACAAAATGGCCGCGATTCCAGAGTCTTGTCCCGTCACAGCAGCCGTTCTAGAGTCTCGTCCCATCATGGTCGCTATTCCAGAGTCTCGTCCCGTCATGCTGCAGAACCTCCTGAGGCAGTGGCATCCATTCCAGTCCCCTAATCCACTCCCAAGCCTGCTCCAGTCCCAGTGTTTAGTAAGGCGTACGCTCACGAGCCCGCTCCTAATCAGATTCAATGATCTATGCTAAGCTGCAACTAAAAGTGCTACCGCCAGACCCGGAGATCGGCTGAATGGATTCGAAAATGGTAAAACTCAACTGTTTAACTCTAGGGGAGTTGGAAAATGAGCCCATTTTCAAAAATAGTGGAGTGTTCATTTTAAGAGTCAACCACGTCTACCTAAAATGGCTCGTTCTAACACGCCCTCACATGTCTACGTCACGATGTGGGAAGATTTGCATAACGCTGCCCAAATGTTCACGCAAAGAAAGAAGGCGTAACTTTGATTCTCGCTGTTGTATTGTTGTTGCCGTGAACAAGATGCTGTGTGTTTTGTTGTGAAAGTGAAACTACTTTGTTTGGCTTCCAAAAGAGGACACAATTAGAAAACAGTGGTTAAGTTGTATTTACAACACTGTTCCAGAACAGTTCAACCCAAATATTCAGATGTGTGCAGCACATTTTATGGAGGACTGTCTCGTCGCGCAAAGACTTTCACCATTGGCTCTGACTTCAGCCAATTGTTATTGACTTAAATTGCAAAATAAAACTTTATAAGTTAAACAACATGTTTCTAATTAATCTAAAATAAAATATGCAATATAAATAAATATTCTCCGTGAGAGCAGAGCCCAAAGCTCATGGCCAGTGGTGTTCGGACTGGAGTTTGAACCTCTGCTTAATGATATAAATGCGAATTACCCACGAGCCGTCTCAGCGCAGCGCAGGGGAAAGATTTTACTCTATGGCTTTGTTCTAAGCAACGGGGGTGTCCCGGGGCTCGAAATTCGCCCAAAGCTCATGGCCAGTGGTGTTCGGACCGAACTTTGAACCTCTGCTTAATAAACGGGAATCACCCATGGAATTGCCAATCCCACCGTGCAGTCAATTTCACTGGTTAAGGTTAGGGTCAGGTGTGGGGTAGGTTTAAGGGTTGGATTTTTTTGTAGTATAGTGTAGGAAATCAACACAGAGGCCGAGGTATTCGCCCAATCACAACGCACTGTGGATAGCTGGCCTATCACAGCACACCTCGCTTTTCAGACCGATGAGCTTTGTAAAAATCGACGCGTTTCAGAAAGGAGGGGCATAGAGGAGAAACAATGTACAGTATGTGGAAAATGTGTTTTTTTTACCTTAAACCGCATAAACACATTTCATTACACCAAATACACAACATAATGTTCTTTTTAGCAGCATCATATGATCCCTTTAACACTTTTAAAAGTTACGTTGTATTATGAGGTCTATGTTGATGTTGAAGAAAAAAAACAACATTTGCAATGTATTAGTTTAGTTCTGTATGTCATACTATAACCTGGCTCAACTTGTAAAATGTAATTCTGTGTCTGTCAAAGTCTGTTGCAGCACTGAGAAGAAATGTGGGAAAGCTCCCTTCCAACTTCACAGTGTAGCGAGAACAAGACATAACAACAGTGTCCATCAAATAAATGTTTTTATTTTGTGTGTGAGACTACCTATGAGTTTGAAAGTGTTAGGCTCAGAATGACTCTTGACAAAATCGTTGCATACAAAACTCTTCGTAACATGTGTCCACAACTTGCATACAAGTTCATGACCCTTAATGAGGTGAAAGAATTTCAAGGAGAGGAAAAAAAGAAATTAACCAGTATTTCAGACAACTCAAAAGTCAAAATGGGTCAAATTGACCCATGACATTATAGGAGGGTTAATCAGCCAAAATAATCACAATCACCTGTGTGGGTTTATCATGGTGTCTTTTTGTTGACGTAGAGTAGAGCTTACCATAGGGTGACCATACGTGGCATTTTGCCAGGACGCGTCCTGGCCAGGATTTCTAGATTGCCTAAAATATCTAGGTTTTGGCTTTGTTTGCGTGTGCAGACCGATCGGTGTATGACATCAAAATATCTCGAGAGCATTTTGAAAATATAAGGAACCGTTTGTATGGTATTTTGATGTATGGTATTTGATTTTTGACCGATCGGTCTGCACACGCAAACAAAGCCAAAACCTAGATATTTTAGGCAATATAGAAATCCTGGCCAGGACATGTCCTGGGAAAATGGCACGTATGGTCACCCTAGCTTACCATTCTGTAGAAAAGGTGCCAAAAATTGAATGTTGCTACCACAGGAACCACAAAAGCATCCAATATGTCCAGCCAATTCGAGCCCACAATATGGACAATACATAACCTGGGAGAGGAACAGTGTGACTTACACTCTTAAAAATAAAGGTGCTTCAAAAGGTTCTTTAAGCGATGCCATAAAAGAACCATTTTTGGTTCCACAAAGAAGCATTCGGTCAAAGGTTCTTTAAAGAACCATCTCTTTCTTACCTTTTTATAATCTGAAGAACCTTCTTTCGTCACAAAGTGCATGTTTTCTTACCGGAAAAAAAAATAGCCACCTCAACTGAGTGCATTCCTTTTGTATGCACATTTTACAATTTTATGAGCATCTTTTTTTTTTTTCTTTTTCAATATCCCAAACTTTTTATTAAAAATATGTGTATGGAGACAGCTTGTCACACTTCACGTCAGATGAAGATTCAAAATAATTCAAAGTTATTTTGCACAAACAATACCAGACACAAAAAGAAGAGTGCACAACTTAAATACACAGTGATGAAGAGCTAATAACGAACAGCTGTGATGACGCAGTTAGTGTCCACTAAGATAAAGGAAAAAGGAAACTGACTGTGAACAAACTAAAAGTCCATGAAACTGAAACCAAGAGAGACTGAACTAAACACATAACTGTGACACAGCTCATGTCAGTGAACGGTTCAAGACATTGAAAACAACAATTTCTGATTGTTCTTCACACAAAGCTTTTATATGGCTTTAGAACACTTGAAATTTAGCTCATATGGACTACAGTTATAGGGTTTAATATAACCCAGCGAAAGCATCCAATATGTCCAGCCAATTCGAGCCCACAATATGGACAATACATAACCTGGGAGAGGAACAGTGTGACTTACACTCTTAAAAATAAAGGTGCTTCAAAAGGTTCTTTAAGCGATGCCATAAAAGAACCATTTTTGGTTCCACAAAGAAGCATTCGGTCAAAGGTTCTTTAAAGAACCATCTCTTTCTTACCTTTTTATAATCTGAAGAACCTTCTTTCGTCACAAAGAAGCTTTTGTAAACAGAAAGGTTCTTCAGATGTTAAAGGTTCTTTATGGAACCATTTAGACAAAAAGGTTCTTCTATGGCATCATGAAGCACCTTTATTTTTAAGAGTGTAGTGCTAAAAGAAACTAAGCAGATGCCTGTGAATAAAGACCTTTTCATAGCAGTTTCACAGCAGAGGAAAAATGCAAGAGAAGCCCTTATGATTACTCAATCATGTATTGAGCATATGAATTCACAAAAGTTATTCTCACTGCAATGGAAATATAGCTCAAAGTCAATGGGACAGAGAAATATGCTCTTTTCTGTAATTGTAGCTTCATAAAGTTATCTAACTAGTATCCTCCAATCAGGGTATACTTTAAGCATCGAAATGAAGGTAATTTATTTGTTAACTGATTTAAAAAAAATATATATATATATATATATATATATATATATATATATATAAAATTTTTTTATTTTTCTTATCAGAAAA